GACCCAGATCCTCCAGCAGAGACCGGTCCACCGTGGACGGACCCAGATCCTCCAGCAGAGACCGGTCCACCGTGGACGGACGGGAGAACCAGAACCAGGACTGAGAGGGGCAGACTGTCAGACCCTGCTGCAGTAGAATGAGTGGTTTTCTAAAGGGACTCTGGTCTACCTGGACTACCGCTTTAGTCCACAGGGACCAACAGAATCAACACAAAAATGAAAGTTCCTCGTAGTAACTTTAAGTAGCAGGACTTAAATACTTGTAAATGTTTTTACATTATGGTTTTGGTACTATTGCTGTACAACAACCTCAACCTTTCTTTCTTTCTTTCTTCTTTGGGGTTTCAGTCTGTCACAAGCTGGAGTTGGAGCGGCAGCAGCACAACCAGCTGAAACACACGTGGCAGAGAGCCAACGACCAGTTCCTCGAGTCGCAGCGTCTCCTCATGAGGGACATGCAGCGGATAGAGAACGTGCTGTCCTCAGAACAGCTCCGCCAGGTGGAGGAGATGAAGAAGAAAGACCAGGTAGACACACACACACACACACACACACACTCAGACAGCAGACTAATCCAGTTTAACAGATAATTTAGTTCCATTTTTCCAACTGAAACTTTTCTTTGCAATAATAACATTAATACGTTAATCTGCTGTGTGGTTGGAGGGCAGAAAATATCATTGACTAATCAATAGATAGATGACTATATAGTGAGTTTGTATCCCACAATGCATCGTGAAAAGTCGTGGACAGACGATGGGTCACTGACCAAACACTATCATGCATTGCGCTGAAGGGAGAGAGGAGAGAGAGGGGAGAGGGGAGAGAGAGGAGAGAGAGAGGAGAGAGAGAGGAGAGGGGAGAGAGAGGAGAGAGAGGAGAGAGAGGAGAGGGGAGAGGGGAGAGAGGGGAGAGGAGAGAGAGTTGTGGCACGAAAATAATATATTTAACGTGAACAGAGCATCACAACACAAAGGGCCACAAAATACTTTGTATTTATTTATCTGGAAAAATACATAAATACTTTAAGACGTACTGCTTTATAAATGAACGTTATTATCTTTATAAATGAACGTTATTATCGTTTTAAAGGTAGAATTTATGTCTAAGCTGTTTTATAATATTGCATTTATATTTTCTACCTAATAGAGTGGAGTAAATGTAGTAAATGGAACAATAACGTGACGGATTTACGATTTAAAATCTTCTTTTTTTTCATCTCCATCCAAGGAGGAGGACGAGAAGGAGCGTCTGAGCCAAGTGAAGGAGCAGCAGCAGGAGGAGGATGTGGGAGACAACACGGAGCCTCTGGAGGATTATTACCTCGGGCTGAGCGTCGAGGAGGTACGAGCATCGCGTAACGCGATCCGGGTTAGGATCCCTCAGAGAGAACCGAGCACAGACATTATCGTCTCGCGTCATATTATCTTCCCTTTAGAGTAACGTGAGCTTCACACAGGCAACATGCAACCTTCACTTCTGTGTTTCTAGCAGCCATTAACTGATGATATGAAATGTGTGTTTTATGGTGGAAATAAACTAACTATATTTACTGAGGAGTGCAGAATTGTTATGTTTTTTTTTACCGGATCTGGTAAAACTGAAATGGGTGAAATGAAACAACAAAAACATGTGGAATAGAGTTATTTTGATTAAATATCAGAATTTTAAGCTTCGGTTCTCTTGCTTTTTCTGAGTTAAGCGTTTGTCAATCGTGATGTGTTCAAAGACTAATGAAAAGCTAAGAAAATCCAATGACGATGTCTGTTTTTACAGCTTCTGGCTCTGATAAATGGTGTAGTTTTGGATATTTTTTTAAGAAAACATGCTTTTCAAGCCGTGTTTTGTGGTTAAAGAAGTTCAATAAAAAAGTCCAGTGACTGCCCAGCTTAAAAAACAACAACAAAACATCTCGCCGTCAGCATTAATGCAGCATGTCGATGTTTTTAATTTTATTTATGCGTTTATTGCTCAGTATGTTTTGCATATACAAGGAATTTGGCTTCGTGAATGGTGCATGACAATAAACACGAATATTATAAACAGTATACGATTACTTTAAAAGAAGTTTTTGTTTATTCTCTTATTAAAGTATTAAATGTATATTTAAAGCTATTTAAATGAGTTGTGCAGTGATAAACGTATTTAATGGTCTTTATTTACAGACTTCTTTGTCTCTTTCTCTTGCAGCCTCATGCCAACCACAGCGCTCACGGCTCCATGCACTCTTTAGACACCGACGTGGTGGCGGGCGGCCCCGTGGACCCCTACAAGGAGAACCTGCGGCGAGCCCAGTCGACGGACAGCCTCGGCTCCTCGCTGTCCGTCCAGCAGGGCCTCGGCGGACACAACCACAAGGCCAAGTCGGCCGGCCACCTGGACGAGTCGGACTTTGGGCCCCTGGTGGGGGCCGACTGCGGCGCGACGGACACCAGCTTCGGCGAGACGTCGTCCATCAGCTCCATGAAGCTGACGAGCCACTTCCTGCTGACTAAAGACCAGGAGAAGGCCATCAAGGCCATGACGCCCGAGCAGGAGGAGACGGCGTCGCTGCTCTCCAGCATCTCTCACGCTACCGACACCTTCTTACCCCCGACGGGCTACAGGCTCGTCAGTGACAGCGAGTGGAACCTGCTGCAGCAAGAGGTGCAAGAGGTTTTTCATAGTTTAGAAACGCTAATATAATCCAAAATATTTAGTGGACGTTAAACGTACACAGCACTAAGTCGTGTTGGAGGATTTTCCTCTGATTTTAGGACGATTACCTTCAGGGAATACTTTTCTCGCCTTAAATGAAGCTTCAGTTCAACATCGGAGCTGCAGATGATTAGTAGCATTTATTGCAGTATCATTTCCTTACTGATATCAGATTGAAGTAATAAGCATGGCCCCCGTTTAGACTTTTCTCGGGTTTTTTTTTATCCTTTATTCACTGAGAAGTTTTCTTCAAGAACTCGAGGTACCTCAGGGGGAGAAGTTTATATACAGACGGTGATTTTGTGGGAGAAGTATTCCTTTAAGGTCCGACTACGACTGATGCATAGGCGATATCATGAGGTTTGGAGAAGGCGTCTCTGTTTTAGTCTACAATGTTCTTCAGTTTATGAACACACCAATACAGTGATTTATTCCCAACAAACAGGACGATACTTTGGCAAGAATTCCCGACACATACTTGGATGTCAACTCCTTTTATTCAGGCTTCGGAGAAGAAGGAACTTTACATTTGATTCATTGATAATCTTGTTAATTAATCGTCAATATATAAGCACACACGAGGTCTTTACATCATTAAAACAGTTCAGTGCTTCATGGTTTTGTTGTTTGCTCTCTACGTCACCAGGTGAAGAACGCCGGCAGGAAGCTCGGCCGACGGTGCGACATGTGCTCCAACTACGAGAAGCAGCTGCAGGCCATCCAGGGACAAGAGGCGGAGACACGAGATCAGGTCTGTGCTTGTTGACGTCAAAGAGAGCAGAGCTGCAGAGACTTTTTAATAACCAGTCTGCATTTTGTACGGCAGCGTTTTGGAAAAAGATGCTCATTTCGAGGGCTTGTCCGTCTCCTCCAGGTGAAGAAGCTGCAGGTGATGCTTCGTCAGGCCAACGATCAGCTGGAGAGGACGATGGCCGAGAAACAGAATTTGGAAGATTCGGTCAAAGTGGGCAACGAGGAAACCGCCGCTAAGGTTTGGACGCAGTGAATGTTTTAATAACTTCATGTTATTCTCTTTAGATATCTGGGTTAGTGCTTTAATGTGGACTTATAGAATAATGGCTACAGGCTACAAAGTTACTATTTGAGTAGACCTTTACAGTGTTTATGTCTTATAGACTCCACAAACACAGGCAGGCTGTGTGAGATGAGTAGAGACAAAGTCTTCTCTCTAGTAGCGCTAACAGACATTTACAGGAACATTAGCGCGTGGTGCACGTCTGACCTCACAGAGAGCTCCGTGGCTAATTTCATTGGTTCAGTGTTAGAGAAGTGGTAGTTTCGGGAAGAGTCTGTCGTCCTTGAAGTGCATTATGAGCACTTATTCTAGATATGCAACGCTCCAAAGCTAATGTGCTGCTTGGCTGTTGTTCATTAGGTCTATTATTTAGATCAGACTGTTGTTCTTTTGCAGGATTTCTACCTAGATGTAGTGAGAGAGAACATCTACGGAGCTCAGTACTTTAGAATAGTCATGTTTCAGAGGTAGTGAATGGGTGGACTTGACTGAAAATAGCCTCTATCTCCGTGTGGGTGTGTTACCTAAAGAGCACAGTGAGGATTTCTTCTCCTCTGCACTGGTTTGGTATTTGGATGAGTTAGCGGGAGGAGGAGAGGTGCAGTAGGAGGGAGTGTGATTGGTGAGATTCACTGAAGGCCTCATGTGAATTCTGCTGTAGAGAGGCGAAGTTCTGCCCCTCTGGATGACCACCATGGGATGTTGATTCAGAAAAATATGTATCGTAGTCAATGACGAGAGATAAATAATTAATTGATTCCGTTAGAATTGAGCCATTAATTACACATCTGATGTGTCTAAGATGTCTGTGTATATATACGTATATACTGTATAAAAAGTATCATCACGGAAAGAAACAAAAAGGAAAACTATATTATATTTATTTGAATGAGAGCATTTCGCTGCATGTATGACCAAACTGCTCGTCTCTCATGATAGAGAGAAGTCTGACTCTACACGCCCACTAATAATGAATCCCACGCTGTTCCCAGAATGCACCACAGGCCGCCGTACTCTCTGAACTGTTGAATAATCTTTTCAGTCCAGAGTTTTCTAAAACATTCTATTCAGCGTTTATGAGCAGTCAGGCAGTATTTTGATATTCTAACGATATCGTGAAATGAGATTTTGGATATCGTAATGTGGCATAAAGTTGTCTTTTCCTGGTTTTAAAGGCTTATTTTAACCAGGTAAATGTCTTGTACAATTAAAATTAAGCAGATTCATTTGAATGCAGGACTTTTAATGGCAGTGTAGTATGTTTACACTGTAGTATTGCTACTTGTACTTAAGTAAAATATCTGAATACTTTCTGATAAAACCATTATTTTGATGCTGATACTTTTGTACTTTTACTAAAGTAAAAATATGAACGCATCACTTTGACTCTGAGTATTCCTACACAGTGGTATTACTACATTTACTTACCAGATTACAAGATGTGTCCTTCTTCCACTGAGTGTTTCTATCCGGAGTCTAAAGACCTTTCTGAAACCTTCATCTTGTGTTTATCTTTGTGTTTCTGTGTCGCAGGTGTCGGCCTTCATGCAGAGAGTCCAGGAGTCAGAGCTGCTGCTCATCTCACTCCAACAGGCCTTCAGTGAAGCGAAGAGCAACACGCAGCAGCAGATGGTGAGCAGCGTCTTCCTCCCGTGCTGCTTGTTCTCTGCCAGCTGTGTGTTTGGATGTCGAGCTCCTTCCCTCATGTCAGAGACTTTTAAGCCGTTTCAAATAAGCCGGTCGGTTTTGTTTTGTTGTGACAACGGGGCCCCGGAGCTGTTATCGCGCATGCAGCCAAACTGAATTTGCAGCCTGTTAGTGTTTAGGATTTACTTCTCTCTGCCTCTGTGGCAACGACGTCACTGCTCCTCAAAACCACAGATATATGCTGACATTTCTCACTTGTAACAATGCTGTTAAATATGTCCAAATGTTTCTCATCCACCACGACGGAAATGTACAGATTTATAGTGTAGATTACTGCAAAATGTCACCATCAAAAGCTTTAAGAGTTAAAAATGTTGTTTTGTCCAACCAACAGTCCCAAAACCAAAGATATTTAATTCAAAATAATATAAAACACATTAAATCTGAAAGATGTTCACATTTTAGAAGGAAAAATACAACATGCATATACTGTGTGTGTGTGTGTGTATATATATATATACACAAGTTGTTTTCTATTTATATTTAGACATTTATCTGTCTCAGTCCACTAATTGATTAAAATAAAGAAAATAGTCACTATTTTAAGTAAAAACAGAATTGTTACGTAACGTCATGGTTCCTCCCGACCACAGATATCTGCTGACAAGATGGTGATGGGAAGTTACGTTAAATATCTCCAAATGTTTCTCATCCGTCATAACAGAAGTGTAGAGCTCTGTCGACCGCATCACTGCAGTTAGCTGATTCAATGAAAGGAAGCTATGAAGATACAATGAGATGAGAAATACAGTGTTAAGATGAAAGTAGGATGAAGTGTTTTTAAAATTAAGATTTAGCTAAAAACATAATTGGCATATGTATTGTTTGGTAAAGTTAGTGCAAAATGTTTTGAGATCTCTGGACGTTGTTTTGTCCAACCAGCCGTCCCAAACCAAAAGTAATTTAAACATTTTAGAGGCGTAACGTTTGTTAATCCTCCAAGTTGTTATTGATTTACATTTCTGTATCAGTCCACTAATCGAGTGTTTCAGGTCTGGTTTAAACTTAATAAATAAACAAAATGATCTTTTTTTTAAATCTGTTTTGGAAAGACAGATATTTACTCTTTCACTACAGGATGTTGTTGTAAAAATTACATTAAATATATCCAAAACTTGCTGCTCCTCCACAACAGAAACACAGATTCATAAACCGTAAAAAAGCTTCATGCATTGCTCAGTAAAGTAAGTGCACTTTTGTTTTCCTAGCAGATCTTTGTGAGGGAACAGCAGGAGGAAGTGAGTGAGACAGAAACATTTTTAATAATGAATATGCAGCTGTGATTCATCGATGGGCCTTCAAAGACAAACCAGAAACAATGAGACGTTCCTGTTGCTGCATGTGGCTTTAATCTAAATAAATATGTCTCAACGCTGTCATGAATGCAGCCGTAATGTTTACACATAATGACGGCTCTGCGGGGAGAATCGGAGAGCTGGTGAGTCACTTTTTCAGTGACTCGTTCCACATGACAGAAGTTTAAAACAGTGATTTATTTTGTCTGTTTCAGGCGGTGCTGGTGAAGTCGAGGGAGCAGGTGGCAGACGAGCTGAGCCGACTGCAGAGAGACAACGAGAGCCTGCAGGGCAAACACCGGCTGCATGTGGAGCTGCAGCAGCAGGAGGACTTCCAGATGCCAAATACTGTGCAGGTACAAGAAGCCCAAAGTCAACATCAGCATCTGTAGTAGAGCTCAAAAGTATCTGTGAATCCACCAACCTGTGTCTATTAATCGTAGGACCATGTACTCTCTTTTAATTCTTTGATTCAATAGTTCCAGATTTAAATTACCAATATTAGACTGTATGTTATTTGTTATCAGTTTTTTTGTTTAAATTTCTCTAAATAATAATTTGGGAAAAGTCTTGTTTTGCTGTCGGTACTTAAACTCGGGTATTGCGTTGGCACCAATTTAATTATTAAATATTTGTTGTCGGTTAATCTTACAAAAACAACATTTTCACTGCGGTCAAAAAACGTGTTTGCTCTCCCGCTTGCCGCACACAAAGAGAGGCTCACGCTTGTGTGAACGTGGAAGTCGAGCAGCAATCTAACGGCACCATAACTTATTTATACAACCACAATAACACACATCTACTAACACTATTATAGTAGATCATATCATGTATCTGCATTCCCAAAACATCATCTCTTTCATACCGACTGTCCGAATAAACATCCGATGAATCGCTTTATTCAGATGAGAGGATTTTGGTTGAGTTTTTTTTTTTTTTTTTTTTGTCCTTTAGGTTGAGGATGTTGTAAATATGACGACATATATTGGAAGCTTTATTCGTGAACCTCAATAGCAGTAAATAAAAAAAGACATTCGGTACAGCCCTCATTTTGAACTTCCATGCTCAAATTGCATCAGTATAACTTGATTTTACTTGAGTAGATGCTTCATGGGTGTATGTATATTAAGTAAATTACTTCAGTCATTATCAAAAAACTAAAAAAGATAATCTTATGTATCTGCTTTTGCTCGGCGCTCCGTCAAGGCGTCATCATTTCATACGACTGTAGAACAAATAGCCGGAAGCGTTGATTTAAAAAAAGACAAACTAATTTAATCCAAAGATTCACTTCATTCAAACTGAGGATTGTGTTCTTTAGAATAAAAAGTGAAGTCAGACATTCGAAGCTTTGAAATCCTCAATAGAAGGTTGGTACAGCTGTATTTTTGAACTTTAATGCTCAAATTGCTTCAGTATAACGTGGGCTTCATATGAGGAGATGCTTCATGGGTGCGCTCCATTTGTCACAAAACAGCTGGCTGCTCTTCTGCGCTCAAATTATGTAAATATAATCCCTGCAGTGCAGCAGTCAGAAGATGATTACTTCAGTGTTGATGCCTTTGTGGCTCCATTAGCTCATTTTCAGTGATTAACGATGCCGCTCTGACGAGGTTAGAATATCTTGTTTTACAAAAGTGCGCTCTCTCAAAAACACTCATCGTCGTCCTCCCACACGGTTTCTCTTCAGCCTCATGCTGAATGACGCTCTGCCGGTAAATCTGGCAGAGTGGGCCGGTGCTCTGGTGGAGTAACACCGATGATCCTGTGACATTTACAGCTTGTTGTGTGGTTAAAACAAGCTGCTCACGTAACATTTAAATCTGTATTTACTGCATCAAGACACCGAAAATCATGTTCATTTATTGCACCAGGTAGTTTTTATTTGTCCTTTACTACATTTGTGTGTGAAGTACTTCCTTATTTCTTAGTTAGTACTGGTTAGTTTTCAACCATTGATTTACTCAAAATAACTTTAAGGGGCCACGAGATATATTATATGTAGACTTAACTTTCTATCCTGTGTAGGTTTTTGATTATTGATGCATAAATGGAGAACTACGTGTTACACAATTATTAGTATTCTTTGACATCTAACCTTGTTTGGTCTCTAAGTGTTACGTTAATGGCAAAAACATTTTGTTATTTAATGTGTAGTAGTGCAATTAATAAGTTATTTTAGTTCAGAAATGCATAAATATAGAGATGCATGTCATCTGCATACGACGTCACAATTTCCAGCTCCGTCATCACCAGACATTTAGATAAAAGAGATGACAGAAGATTTAACTTTATTTATTCTGAGGGAAGTTATTGTCCAGGACAACGGTTGCAGTACAAAGTAGGAAAGATTACAAGTAAAATCAAATGGAAATAGTTATAGACTATCAATAAGTTGCAAAACAATTAAAAGGAAGAAAGTCACCGCCCTGTCTGCAAACTTCTTTCATGTTAATGTCCTTTCATCTGAACTAATAGAACTACATGATGATGAGTTTAATTCTTCCTCAGGAGCTGCATGGCCTGGTGCTGCGGCTACGCGAGGACCTGGTAGCGTTGCGGACGTCGGCCGATCACATGGAGGAGAAGCTGAAGGCGGAGATCCTGTTTCTGAAGGAGCAGAACCAGGCGGAGCAGTGTCTGAAGGAGAACCTGGAGGAGACCCTGCAGCTGGAGATCGAGGGCTGTAAGGAGGAGATAGGTGAGACTCCACTGGTCGAGTTAGATCATTGATTAACCCTTTGTATAGCTATATGGTGGATAACTAACCAATCACTCCTAAAGGCATAGTTCACCCAAGAAACAATATAAGTGGTCTATAGAAACCACCTCCCGAGGCTCTCTATGGACCCAGAAACATTTTTCTATCAGATGGCGTAAAGGAGTTCAGAGTGCCCAAATAATAAAAGCACCATGCACAGCTCCAGGCTCATGACAACACTCATGAATGTGCCGTTTAATTAGACCCAAAACCCTGTGCACACGAGCACGAGGCTGCTCGCTCGACCCCTTCCTACGAACTCACAACCGCTCAAAACCATGGATGTAAATGGTAATTGACTTTTATATTTGTATTGCGCCTTTCTAGTCTTCTGGGCCACTTAAAGCACTTTTACACAACATATCATTCACACACATTCATACACTGATGGGAGAGAGCACATGGAGAATCATTTTAAAAAAAAGAAGCTTTGCTTAGCCAAAGAGTGGATTTCCGTGAGCCCACAAATGCGCTGATATGGTTTAATTTTCTCCATAAGCACCGTTCCATAAGAACTTGTTTTGGTGCTAAAGAGAGCCAACGGAGGTGAAAGCTATTGACTATTTATATTGATTTTGGGTGAACTGCTCATTTAACTTCTGTGGGGATGTTTCCAGGATACATGCTTTTAATTTTCTGGACTTTTTTTCTTACATTCTCTTCTGTTTTTGTTTCTTCTCCACTGATCACTTTCATTCAGACATCTTGGAAGGTATGACGTGTGTGTGTGTGTGTGTGTTTTGTGTGTGTGTGTGTGTGTGTGTGTGTGTGTGTGTGTGTGTTAATGGCATAGCTGTCAGACTGATTAATAACTTCAGGGAATGTTTTCACTGTGAGGATGTTTGTGTTTCCTGTTGTTACCGACAACAACATTGTTACTTATCAATGTGTGCACTCACAGCCTAAACCTTTACAAATGTGTTGTTGTTCACTGAGAGGGTGAGATTTGGCTTTCAAATCTTCTCTGTTTTTGGTTAACAGTTCTGTTTGTTGCAACACTAACACGACATTTAAGTGACTGGCACTGTGGCTTATCGTTATTTTCCAATTTATTTTTCTGAATTATTCTTTCAGCTTATGAAATGTCAAAAACACAAGTGTAAACAAACCACCAAGATGCATCGCCGAGTTGTTCTGGGACGCATTGGTCCACATGTGTTTTTGTAGCGTTAAACACTAATTCATCCCGACAACGATGTTACAGAAAACTACGTCATCTTTCCTTTTGTTCCTCCTTTTCCTCCAGTTAGTTCTTAAATCGTGTGAGCTGGCTTTGTCCGCGATGTCTTAAAAAATACAAAATAAAAAAGCCCGTAGAGATGCAGTCAGGGCCGTAGGTATTTGGACAAACATCAACTAAAGGAGGCTGCAGTAAAAGTATTACAAATAATCATTATATTCACAATTATGTTTGTTTGTCTAATTAGCCTCTGGAAAATGGGGGAGACTCGGTAAAAGTTAATAATTCCTAAATGGTTAATGTGATGTTTTTGTTTTATCCATTGAATTCAAGCTGGAAGTCTGCACTTCAACCACAAATTGAATGTTTCATCTCAAATCCATTGGAGTCGTGTAAAGAGGCAAAGTGACAGAAAGTTGTGTCACAGTCCAAATACTTGTGATCCTGACTTTATATATCGAGTGCGTTAAGCTTAAGTTTAAGTTCATACTCGCCGTAGTGAAGCTGTGGTCGTAAAATCACTGTTTATGTCTGAGGATTTTACAAAGAAGGGAGATTCGTTTTTAGATGCTTTAGAAAACAGGAGGTTTAAAAATCTACATTTGAGTAAATAGCCAAATCAAATAGCTTAGAAGATATTCAACCTTTTGTTTCTTTCTTATGATTTTCGAGAGACCACGTAGTGACTCCAGAGAGAGAATCAGACCTTTTTGAGATTTAGGTGAGCTCGCTGCAGTTTGATCCTCTAACGACGTCTCTCTCCCTCCCACAGCGTCTTTCTGCAGCCTGAAGACGGAGCTGGAGCGAATAAAGGCGGAGAAGGAAAAGGTACTTTACTCTCTAAACCCCCCAAACCCCTGAGCTTATCTAGACATCACCCAGAGGAGCTGGATGAGAGAGCACACATGATTGAATCAGTTAAACAGACTTCACTCTGCTGGCTCCTTAGTACAAAGTCTAATGTCCGATCAAGCCCATGTGAGAGTAGACTACGGGTGCATACCAAGTCTCTTAATTGCATCTTTTCAAGGAAACCATGCTAGGAGAGAGGAAACAAGGAAACATCTTTCAAGAGAAATGAGACGTCCTTTCCTCCGAAGCGTCACGTGCACGACCGGGGGAATGCAATGTCATGCTGTGAAAAACACTTCCTGGAAGGCTGCTCTTATGCATTCTCGCTCATGGCTCCTCAGAGATCCCTCCTCACTCCTCAGAGAAGAAATAAGAGCTTTGGGACGGATTAATTCTGGTTTAATCGAGGAGCGAGGAAATGACAAACAAGAGACTTCAGATGTCTGTCTGGAGAACTCGCAGCCAGCGAGTGGGCGTGTTGATGTTACAATGTGAACAGAAAAAGACAGACATCCGAGGGTGAAGAAGAACGCTCATTTACACAGACGCCAGCAAAACTGTCTGGAGATACAGCGGGATTCTGGGACTCCTATGAATAAAGGCGAGAACATAACGCAGCTCCAGCTGTTAGGGTTTTGAGATCAGTTTAAACAGGATCCTGCAAACAAAAGAAGGTCAAAAGGTTTTTTTGTGTGTTTTCAGCTTGTTCTGCTGCCAAAAAATATCTTGAGAATCGGCCACAGTGTCATTTTTAATACGACTACTGTCAGAAATTCTAAAATCCTGCAACTATAGGCTTTAAAAAAACAGTCTTAATCACCCCTCATCCTGCAGATTGCTTCTTCCCTAATTGGAACAACACTGCCCTCCCTTCTCTCAGTTGTAGCCTCTTGTGTGCGATGCATTATCTGCAGTACTTTTGTGTATTAACGATTGATAATCTGTCGTTCATGTAGTTGCAGAGCAGTCTAGCTGAGAAGACGGAGACACTGGAGAGCATCCAGGGCCTGAGGATCGGCCTGGAGCGCCAGCTCAGAGAGCTCACCACTGCAAAGGTCAGACCCACCCACACCAGACTCCATGCAAAACACTTCTATTTCATACCGCAGGACAGCTGCTGCATGTCTTTATTTGAATTAAAAGACATTGTGTGTTGTGTGTTTTCACTGCAGAGTGCACTAGAGACTCAGGCGTTTGACGAGAAGGGCAAAGCTCAGCGGCTGCAGACGGAGCTGGATGTCAGTGAGCAGGTTCAGAAGGACTTCGTCAAACTTTCTCAGACCCTTCAGGTAAGAAGGAGGAGTCTATTTTTAGGAAGTATCTTGTTGTTTTGTCTGATACGTCTTGTTCCTCGGTGCTCTATGAGAAAACGCATGAATGAGTATATATATTCACTATAAAGGCTGTCTGTTCTTGTTCCTAAAATAATTTACTTTAAATGATTGTGGGCGTCTGCAGGTGCAGATGGAGCGAATACGACAGGCGGACTCTTTGGATCGAATCAAAGTCATCCTCAATGACACCAACCTGACGGACATCAACCAGCTCCCGGACACATGATGACACTGAACCAAACCCTTCTTTCTCTCATCACTGGCACCAATAACATTATTGATCCTTCTCCTCCTCCTCCTCCTCCTCCTCCTCCTCCTCCTCCATAACCACCACGGAAGAAGAGTTTTAAAAGGACAGACGATGAGGAGCCTTTTGTTGTTGTGTACATTAAGGAAACGCACCGTGGATAGAATCATGAAGATGAACACTACTAAAGGAAAAGAAAATGTAAATAAGTAAATGTGCGACTGTGGACGGAGGGAGTCCATCTTCCTGTGGGTCTGTGTCTCGTTTCTACTGTAGATATACGACTGTATCTGTATTAGCTCAACCAAAAAACAACAAAAAAAAAAGTCGTCTTCTAAAAGCGCTTTTCATCTGCAGCTTCTCTTTCCAGGTAAATATAGAAACTATTGGATGCGTAACTTTTCTCCTTCTTGTTCTCGAAGTGGTTGATAATCGGTTCCTTGTTCTTCTCCTCTTCCTCCTTTCTGGCTACTTTTCTGTGACGTTTCTCCTCTTTGTTTCACCGTGTGACAAAGACGCGATGAAGGAGATTCATGGAAAAACACTTAACTGAGACAAAAAAATACAAATTGAGCAATACCCTCCATATCTTAAACATCTTCTACTGTATCTTTGCTTTGTTCTTAACGTCTGAGACTTTTTTTTTAATAGCTGCAGAAATACAGTGAAGAAACATTCATGTCTTGTTGCTACGTTTTTGTTTTTCACACTTGTTTCTTGAAGAGATAATTTGGATTGATTTTAAGTGTGGTTGTATGAGGTACTTCTATGTACTGAGTGTATTACTACAATAGAAACAGACAGGACTACCAGCATAAAGTAATCTTCTGCTGTGGACGTATTTTAGACTCTCAGTTTAAATGAACGCTATATTTAGAGTATTTTCACCTCTTTACCTGGCTGTCAAACATAACTTTCTGACGGGGAATTGAAGCAGTTATCTCTGCTCTCTTTAAAGCCACGAGACTCCATTGACAGGAACACAGGAGGTTGCTGGTTTACAGCCGTCTCGATCGGTTAGTTTGTTTGTGTTGTTGTGTGACTTTGGTGTTTTAAAGGGTTAGTTCAGATTCACCGAAGTCACACCAAAACACAAACTAACTAACGGATCAAGTTAGCGAAAGACCAGAAACTCCTTTGTTCTGAGCAGTAAAATGACTGTTTCTGTGTGAGGAGTCTGGTGGCTTTAAAGAGAGCAGAGATAACCGCTTCAGTTGTCTGACAGCAAGGCAAAAAGGTGAAAATACTCTTGTACACTTAAGCTGATATAGATTCTGTTAGGCGTACATTACTTTGTGTTGGTACTCTCTTTCTACTGGAGGTAAATACACTGACTGATCACACTTTAAAACACTCAAACTGTCTCTTTATGGACACAGTTCTTATCAGAGTCAAACAAATGGCTTGTTGAAGAAGTGTAAAAGGAAAATATTGGATTTTAATACACACTGCTCCTTTTTATTGATTTATTTTTAGAGTATCTTTCTATGATTCTAAAGCTTCTCGAGGGGCTTTTAGATCAGAATGAAAGAGCTCAGCGTCACAACACACGGACAACAAGTTAATTATTTAGGTTAGTTATTAAAGGACACTTTCAGACACTGGGAGGAAAAACTAAAACATTCATTCATTCATCACTATAAGAACTCATCTTATCACTTCTGATGTGAACAACACCGTGAATGTTCTCAAGGAACCACTTTAAACCGAAACACATTGTTCAAACCAGTTCTTCTGTAGAAGGTTATTTAAACTCCTTCAAATAGCAACACTTAAAAGAACGTGTGAAGATTTGTTCTCCAGACACACTAAATATTAAAAAAAGATAAAAACACAAAGTACTCTGCACAGATCTAAGTGTGCGGGTATCTCTCCCATCAGTTTGAACTCTTTGATACTTCAGCACCTGCGTTGAGATCAAAGCAGGTGGATAACGTCCTCATTCACTCAGTTGTTCACATTAAAAGTCACTTTTCTCAGAGTTATTTAAAGAAAACAAGGAAAACCGGAACTCCTTTCACTCCTCAACACAACTGGCTGCAGGGCGTCATTGTCTAGTTTCGTAAAGTTGCAAAAAAAATTAATTGAACAGATTTAAAGTTTCTGACGCTCTTTGTTTTAAAGCAAAACCGAGGCCTACACACACACTGAAAATTAAACAATTGTGCTTTTTAATAATCCATATTTAAATCCAGTCTGATTTTTAAATACAGGCTAATAATTAAAGTGGAAAAATCACTCAAACTTCTACATTTTAGAGGAATAATATGATTTTTTGGATCCTCAGCTAATATTATATATTGTTATAATATCTTCTTGAATGAATGAATTTGATGGAGAGTAAGAGGTTGAAAAAAAACGAATCCTGAAATGGAGCAACGGATTCTCTTTGTGAT